TTCATAAACAAAACACCAGATTGTTAGCTTAGCAATATGCTAAAGCCAACTTAACTGCAATCAGTCGTGGTTTGCGTTTATCATGCACTTTGCAAACAAACCATCTGGTTACTAGCTTAGCTGCATTCTAAAGCCAAACTCAACCGGAATAAACCATAGGACAAGCTTCGCAAGCAAAACACTATTGTCAATGTGAGTATATGGATGTTAGCTTAGCAACATGCTAATGTCAAACTCATATAGAATCAAATGTGGGATGAGTTTACAGTGCACTTCGTAAGCAAAACATCTGGTTGTTAGCTTAGCAACAGGCTAAAGCCAAACCCAACAGGAATTAATTTTATGACAAGGTTACCATGCACTTCTCAAGCAAAACACTTGTCAATGTGAGTATATGGTTGTTAGCTTAGCAACATGCTAAAGTCAAACTCCTATAGAATCAATTGTGGGATGAGTTTACAGTGCACTTCGTAAGCATCATAAACATCTGGTTGGTAGTTTCACAACATGTTAAAGCCAAAATCTAGACAAGTTACTTTGCACTTCATAAAACAAAACATCTGGTTGTTAGCTTAGCAACAGGCTAAAGCCAAACCCAATGGGAATCAATTGTAGGACAAGGTTGCCATGCACTTCGAAAGCAAAACACTAAATGTGAGTATACGGTTGTTAGCTTAGCAACATGCTAATGTCAAACTCAACTAGAATCAATTGTGGGACAAAGTTACTGTGTGCTTCGCGAGCAAAACACTTTTGTGCATGTGTGAGTTTTACTCACCCTTGTGTTGTTCCAATGCCGTATGCCCTTCTTTCTTTTTCGCACCACAAAATGAGATTTAAAAAAATGTTCTGTGAGAATACAGTGGGGTTTGGTGAAAAACAAACCAAAAATGAGTGTATTTACCAAAAATCCTTATCTTGGCCATTGGATTCTGTGCATGACTGCCTGTTCATTAGCACAGCAGTTCACTCCAACTCGCCCAGGAAAGCACACAAGAATCAAGATGAATAAAAACACAACGTGAAATACAGTGCCTACTTTCTTCACTGAGTTGAATATCTCCAGACCGAAACTCCAGTTGTCAGTTGACAGATGAATGTGATAACTTGTTGTGAAAAGCACAACAGATATATTTACCTCAGAGATGAGAGCACACAGATGGAATTTTGTTGCTTTTATTAATCTTGATTTGTCAAAACAGTGCACTCAATGTGCTTTTTCAGGCAACTCAGAGTGAACTGTGGTGCTAACAAAGTCTTGTGAATGCACAGTTGTGTACAGAAGACCAATTCAATTCTGGTTTGTTTGTTACCATATACCCCCAGAACACTTATAATATACAGCACATTGCATGGGACCATTCTGTGATCTTTTTGCAACTTTTTTTTTTTAAGTTTGGTCGCTAACCACCCTGCTGAAAAAAAAAACAATAGAAACCATCACATAATTGTTTTTACTGGTTATAATGGGAATTGTACTGGTTTTAATGGAAACTGTAATGTCTCTGTGGGTTTCTAATGGTAATTTGTCACCTTTTATTGGTGGCTTGTTAAAACCACTAAATCCTAATGGAATATGTATCAAAACATAATGGTTAATAGTTGATGGTTTGTAATGTTTGTAGTGGTATTTTTAGTGGAAACCATTAGAATTTCTGTGATGGTTTCAATTTTTTTGTTTATTTTTTTTTTCAGCAGGGACCATCATATGGATGAGCATGAGCAGGACATTTTTTTAAATTCAGGTCTGAAACAGACTGAAGTGCATATGGCATTGGAAAAACACCAGCGTGAGTAAATGATGACTGACTTTTTATTTCTGGGTGAAATCCCAGAAACGAACCCTTTAAAACCTCAAGTGTTAGCTTAGCAACATGCTAACGGCAAACTCTACTGGAATTCATTGAAGGTCTAGACTAAGGTGAAGAGCAATTTCAGTTCACTAATGAGGTTCCATTTCAATTAGAATGCTCTTTTAGATATAGGCTCCCTATGTAGGCAGTAGACAGCATGGCCCCTGTTAGCACACGTACATCATGGAGACGTCTATTTGACGTCTACATTTACATCATCAAGATGTATTTTTTAGTGTTTGCTCATCTGCAATACGTCTATAGGACATTTCCTATCAGATGTCAAATAGACGTTTAGAAGATGTCTTTAAGATGTTTATGATTTAGAATGTGTGTAAAACTGACGTCTTAAAGACGTCTATCAGATGTTTGTACGCAGCAGATGCTTTCCAGATGAAGCGATCTTTAACAGACATCTTGCAGACATACCTGTGCTATCTGGGGCAGCTCACTAGGTGAGCTTTTGAAATTCAGAATTCAAGGGCAAGATTTTGAAGGTTTCCTTCTCTTTTATCTTCTCGCAACTTCTTTGCAGCTTCATAAAGAGCCATCTGCACTTAAGGGCAAAACAAGCTAAAATTAGTCATTGGCAGAAGTTGGATGAAGTTTTGAATGTGTTTTTATATGGATGGTAAATGCACATCATTGAAGAAGTAGTTCCTCAGGAAGTTCTGAATGAAGATGAAACTATGAAAAACATCAGCGTATTGTTGTGATTCTTTTTGGATGGCAGTGAAAATATGGACAAAACAATGCAGTTAATATTATTATACCGGCTGATATTCATCATATAAACTGGGTTGTTCTTTGATATCTAATCTGAGGCTAATTATGGATCTCCTTGATTAAAATAAAGTAATTAAGACATTATTAGCACCCACCAGTAGTGAATAAGCCTTGTAATTCATAGCACACATCACAAGAGATGAACAAAGAATCCCTGGTCTTATGGCAAACATTAGCAGCGAGTTTATTATAATAAAAGCTTTAATGTTGGCAAATTTGCTTTTAATCATCACAAAATCAGTTTAGTGCTTTGGTCTGTTTTCTTGCCCCCTCTGTAGACTTTCCTAAACATCTCCATTCAGTGGTTGTCATTAAAAAACCCCATCAGATGGTGCAGAAAGAGGGTTAAATGCTGTGTTTCTATTCAGGTCTGGGATCATAGCATCATTCCTGAGGGGGCACGTCCTCCATCCAGCCCCACGTCAAGGGCAGTAATAGGTGAAACACTTAGACGCAGTACACTGGATGAATAATGCAGAAAAATCAAATGCTCTTTAGTGACTCACAGTCAACGGTCAAGAGCAGGTGAGGTGTGCTGTGTGTCAGAGAAAACGGCTTTCAAATTTTGTTCAGTGTTTTTAATGTGATAAACCCATAATACAGATCTACTGCTTTTCTGTTACACCGCTTAATAAATGTGGGATGAAATTAATTATTCAAGATTTATTTGTGCTCATTTCTATCTGATTAGAATGCACATTCAACTTTGATTTGAATAGCTCAATTGAGTTATGTAGATATTGTCTGGGGTTTTTTTTTTTTTTGGAATATAAAAATATAATCAAAAAGTGTAGCTTAACTGTCCAAACACTTTTAAGGTCAATATACACAAATACTGACAAGTTTGGCAATGCAGTTCTGGTTGCAGATCATGTGACAAACAATATTATATATGTACAATTTGCATATATTTAATTTTCATAAACATTTTTTATGCTTTTGAAATCATTATGTGCACCAAGGCTGCATTTATTGGATCAAACATACAGTAAAAACAGTAATATTGGAAAATATTACAATTCAAAATAACTGCTATATATTTTAATATATTGTAAAATGTAATTTATTCCTTGTGATTAAAGCTGAATTTTCAGCATCATTACTCCAGTCTTCAGTGTCACATGATCCTTCAGAAATCAGTCTAATATGCTGATTATTATTATCAATGCTGAAAACTACATTAACAATGCTTAATATTTTTGTGCAAAATTTATTTTATTTTATTTTATTTTATTGTTTTATTTATTTTTTTTACTTTTCAGGATTCTTTCATGAAATGAATTGCAAGTAATTGCAAAAAAAAAAAAACATTTATTTGAAACAGAAATCTGTTGTAACACTACACACATCTTTATTGTCACTTTTGATCAAATTAACACATCCTTGCTGAATAAAATTCATTTTTATTTACCGCAAACTTTTGAATACTAGTGTACATAAATAAGACATATACATTATCCATATAGTCACAGAGGCATAAAATACCGTAAGTACCAACAAGGTGGAATTATACAAGATTGTCAAATTACACACATCCTAAATCTGGCACCCCAGATGTCTATTATCCTGTACTTTCACAAATGGAAATGGAATTCCTAAATATAAAGGCTTAAATCATCTAGGCAGAGCATTATCTACTGGAGTACAAATCTAAAAAGGTGCCTCGTGGTTACTATAACGCAGGTTCATGAAATGAGGTCGGATTAGTTTATGCATTATTAAATACACTCAAGATAAAGGCCAGGCTATGGATCACTTTACAGCCACACATATGGAAACTAACCCACTGCTAATTCCAGCAGATCCATTTGAAGCCATTATTAATGGAGCATTAGTGCAGAGTGCTGAATTAAAATGGGTTGCTGGCTGAAACAGGCTTTTTATGGAAAGACTAGAAATACAATATTCTAATCGACCATTCGTACACTGCTTATTTGAACCAGAAAAGGTGTTTCTATCTTTGAAGTGACACTGCTCTTTCTTCGATGTGATATTTAAATCACAGCAGTCATACGGCTGTAAATGATGCAAGCTCTTTGAGCGGAGCTGAGAAAGGCGATCATTAAATGCCCGATCAGATAAAGGCCTGCAATTTCCTCCAATTACCAACCCAATCAACACCATCAGGGGTAAAATAACTGCATCAATAGACATGAGTGTGGGCGGTTTGTTTACAAAGAAAGAATTGAGGCTCTTGATTGGACAATAAAACAGAAAGTGAAACACACAAACATACACAGCACGCACATTTCTGTATTAATGACCTAAATTTGCTCAATACAACCAAAGTTTGCAATGCAATTTCCTACAATGCAATAAATTCCCCTAAGATGTGACTGTGTGTATACAATATGTACTTACTGCACAGACTTGGACGCCTGAGATCTGAACTTGGTAAACTCTCCTGGTGCGGTCCATTCAGATCCCAGCTGAAACACAGAACAAACCACAGGATTCCTTGATCGTTAATGCTGTAATTTAATCATTGTGTAATTGGGCTTACATCAAATTACCTGCTAAAAGAGATTTTATTTACTTAAAGGAATAGTTCACCCCAAAATGAAAATTTGCTGAAAATTTACTGACCCTCAGGCCATCCAAGATGTAAATGAGTTTGTTTCTTCATGAGAACAGATTTGGAGAAATTTAGCATTATTTGCTCACCAGTGGATCCTCTGCAGTGAATGGGTGCCGTCAGAAAGAGACTCCAAACAGCTGATAAAAACATCACAATAATCCACAAGTAATCCACACCACTCCAGACCACCAACTAATGTCTTGAGAAGACAATAGCTGTGTGCTTGTAAGAAACAAATCCATCATCAAGACTTTTTTTTAACTTAAAACTGTTGCTTCCAGTTAAATTATGAGTCCTCTATCCATAATATTGTTTTCGCCATAGAAAAAGTCGCCTTATCTGAATCAGGAGAGACAAATGCACAGATCAAGCTCCGTTTACAAGAGAAAACAGTTCTGAACAAATATGTGGGTGGATTTTAATGTGAGGGCAACAGGAGATGGACTTTTACACTGGAGGAAGCATTATTATGGATTGTGGATTTCATACTTTGGCCAAAGTGACGGTTTAAAGTTAAAACATCTTAATGGTGGATTCGTTTCTTACAAACACACAACTTTTCACTTCACATGAGGTTAACTGATGGTCTGGAGTGGTGTGGATTACTTGTGGATTATTGTGATGTTTTTATCAGCTGTTTGGACTCACATTCTGACGGCACCCATTCACTGCAGAGGATCCATTGGTGAGAAAGTGATGGAATATTTTCATTTTTGGGAGGAACTATTCCTTTAAAGGAGGAATTTTTTGTGCCAAAATGTTTTAACTGTAATTTTAAAACAAAGAACTTGTGTGTGTGTGTGTGTGTGTGTGTGTGTGTGTGTGTGCACTGTGCCGTTAAAGACTTTTGAGTGGAACACCCTTTTCGCATTCAAAATAAGGAACATTCATTTTCTATGTTAACTCATGAGCAACATAGCTGTTATCTGGTCAGGTTTTGTTGTTAACTGCCCCAAACTCTCTTAAAAAAATTTTAGTTTAAAACTTTAGTCTCTAACAATGGGATTCTTCAGAAACACATCATATGCACAGCAGCATGTGCAAATGAGAACACAAAAATTGTATTTGTTGCACTTTCCATTCACCTCTACAGAAGTTTATCAATGACGATTTCAGCTTCTGAAAACCCCAGAAATGTGAAGAAGGGAAAAAAAATTCAAGGTAAAAATTCTTATAAATATAATTAATTAATAGTTCATTAATATCATTAGGTTTTTGGGGAGTCACACCACATTTACAGTCTGAATTAACCTTGCCTTGACATTAAAGCATCAAATTATCTCAGTTTTTCGTACAATGAAGCCTTTCATCTCAAAATATCAAGGACAAATTGACTCCTCATAATGTGAGCCCTTTAAAACATTCAGAAGAGTCTGTGTCTCCCTCCTATAACCCTTAATAATTACTCTTCTTACAATCAAATCTTTTTTCTATATACAATCCAAAACATCCGTTTCTTGACCCGCAGGGCGAGCGCAGTGATTTCCCCACCAACCCTCGGTAACTAACACAGTGATACAGAATGAAATCTTCTGCGCTCAATCCCAGCATGCCTCCTTTTAATTGTCATGTGTGGCATCTCTCTCACTCTCAATGCTTCTCTTCAAATCACACATCGATGTAATGAATCATAATGCCTCCTGGATCATCCACGATCCCCACTGCCCTCAAAGACGCCTTTTATTCATCATGCACACACACACACACACACTGACCAACAAAGTCCCGCAGAGCTCCAGATTCCCCACACTTGCCCCTCTTTTCACCAAAAGCAGTGTGTTTACTGTCGCACACACCTTGCGCGGCTGTCAGGATCAACACACACGTGTGACTCAGCCAATGCTAATCACCTCCGCTGCCAAACACAACTCGCCTCTCGCGGGGATTAGAGGACAAAGATGTGTGTGTGTGTGTTGTGTGTGTGTGTGTGTGTGTGTGTGTCTGTGTGTGTGTGCATCTGCCACCAGAGGTGAAAGCTACAGTACATTTCCACTTGAAGGTGACTACAGGAAAATGTGAGGGTAAGAGAAAACATTGGGTGGAAACTTCTTGTTATCATCAATGTGTTTAAGTTCAATAAAAATCAAAGACAAAAAGACAATTTAAGGTACTTTTAAAAGAGTACTTATTACGGAAATAATACATTTTTAAAGAATATACTTAAGTGTGAACTGAAAGGAATGTTTTCAGACACATAACTGCATGTTTTTTTTACAATGAAATGAAAATGTATACAGTTTAAATTTATATTAAATGCAATTAGCTGAGCATAATAGTGATTTTTTTTTTTTTACCCACTTAAGTAGGACTTAAGTATATCTTTAGCTCCCGGTTTCACAGACAAGGCTTAAGCTAGTCTCAGACTAAAATGCATGTTTGAGCTGTCTCAACAGAAAATATCTTGCTCTGACATATCTTAAAATATGTCAGTGTCATTGTTCTGCATCAAGATGCACACCTGTAATGTTTTCTTCTATGGCATTTTTGTAAAAGTTGCTTAAATATCTTAATTTAACTAAGGCCTAGTCCTGGCTTAAGCTAAGCCCCGTTTGTGAAACCGGGCCTATGTGTAATTTCATAATTACTTCTAATATTGATTTTGAAATATGGTTAAAGTGTACTTCATTTAAATAAAATTTTTAATGATAACGTTGCAATTTAGTACATTTAAAATATATTAAATTTAAAGGTAGAGTATGCGATTTTGGAGAGGCTAGCAATAGCAAGCTAGCTTTGAAAGCATAAGATCCCACCCTCCCTGCATAATCACTCTCCAAAGCCACGCCTCCTCCAAAACACATGACCGCACACAGGCAGACCAGCGGCTAACCAGCGACACGATGTAGCGCTGTCAGCTTACCTCATGTCTCATTCACCAGTGAGAAAACTTTACAGTACAAAGTGCATAATATTACAATAATAACCCTTCCATTCTTGCTTGGTCTGCAATAGCCATTGACAGGCATGTAGGACAGCCTATCATAATCTTCGGACCGAGGAATATGATTAGACGAACATTTTATGGTCCTACGCCTTCCACAGGCAATATAAACACATTTAGACCACTTAAGTTAGTGATTGCTATTGGGATGTGAAGAGACTTTCAACCATCTTAACAAATGTTTTCGAACCAAATCACTTACCCTGCCTTTAAATGCCTTAGTAAATAATACACTACTGTTCAAATTATATTCAACTACTTTTCATGTGGTTTAGTATGTTAACACGTCAAAATAAGTGTGCTTCTTTAAAGCACAACAAAATATTATTAAAACAGTGATTTAAGATGTACTTTACAGTAAAACATTTAATTTGACATTATCACATGCTCTTTTAAAAACTGTACTTAAGTATGTTAAGAAACAGTCAAACAGTGAACTCTATAAGTACACTCGTGTTTTTTTTCATTAAAATGATCTGTAAGTATAGTTTCTTAAAAACAGACTTTTAAGATCTAAAGTGCACATTCAATTCAATTAAGTGCACGTCTTTTCACAAATGTTGTTTTGCAAATGAAAAGATGCATCAAAGGAGACATAAGAACATTAAAATTAAGATAGACACACATGGTTATTCCACTCTAGTACCGTTTCCCTCCAAAACAGTGGGAGAGATACCCATAATGTTTTACAGCTAGAAAGATTTCTATTTACACAGATGACTCATTTTTCTGCATGAGCTCCATAGGACATCCACCCGCTAAAGGGGAAAATGTGAATGGTGTTTATGGTAATTTGGCTACAGGGCGTTGTTGTGTAGTTTATAATCGGGCATTCTGGGTGTTTTTACGTGGTTCCTTGCTGGTCTGAGTCAAAGGAGCCCACTCAAAGTCTCCAGATATGGATGGAGTCATCCTTTCAGTATATGTCTATTGATTTTGTTTAGCTTGTTTTATTGTCACCAAGCAAAACTCTTAAAGGAATAGTTCACCCAAAAAAATAACTATTCTAAAACTATATGATGATCTTTCTTCTGCAGAACACAAAAGAAGATTCTGAAGAATGTTTGGACTCCATTGACTTTCACTGTAGAGACAAAAACAACGCGAATGCTGGTGTTTGTTGTCTTAATAGTTAATGTTATAACCATGACTTGAAGATTTGGTCACAAACTATCAGCGCAGCGGAAGCTACTGTGACTGTAGATTCAACTAAAGCGAAACAAAACAGTTAGCTATAGCACACACTACTAAAAAAAAAAGTAGTGAAATACTTGAGCTATAGTTGCAAAAATGAAAATGTTCCCCTACGCCATGTTTACTATATTCAAATGTGGCACATCAAGCAGCAATCAATCACAAGACAAGTAAGAACAAATGTTGCTGTTGTCGTTAACTTATTGTGAATTGATCGTAAAGATCTAGAGTTTTACACTGTGTCCTAATCAGGCATGATGTGATACAACTGTAGCGACAAGCAATCTGTCGGTTCACACCAGGCGCAACAAAATCACAGCCAATCAGAAGAGAGTGTGGGCGGAACTCTTTTTACAAGAGCACTGCTGTCTCACACTTGGAATGAAAAGGTTGAGACATAATGTAATAAAATTAAACGATTTTAACATTATTCAAAATCCATATTCAGTGACTGATACAATCTTCGTCATAGAATAGACTTTAAATGTTTTTACATTTTGAACGTTCTTGTTTCCTTTAAGCAATTTTCCAAATTTGCTAATTTTCGCTTTCATTATGGCTGTTAAAGTCACGCAAAATGATACTGAATCAATTGTTCCAAAAACAGAATCAACTGTTGCTTGCTGCATTTCATCATTGCGACTAGTTCCCTCGCTAAGGCATGTCCTAATCAGACATGCCGTGACACACAATTAATGCATCTTTTTCATGTTAATACATGTTTTCGATGTTAAGAGGACAAATGCTTGTGAAAATGTTTGTACATTCAAATATGGCACATCAAGCAACAATCAATCACAAGGCAGGCGAGAACCAATGCTGTTGTTGTTGTTGACTTGCCATCAGTGTTGGGGGTAACACATTACAAGTAACACAAGTTACGTAATCAGATTACTTTTTTCAAGTAACTAGTAAAGTAATGCATTGCTTTTAAATTTACAACGAAATATGCGAGTTTCTTTTTCAAATAAGTAACTCAGGTTACTTTGTTTTCCCATTTATTCACTGACAGCTCTCCTGTCCCTGTGCTGAGAGTGACGTGCAGAGGAAGAGGAACTTCCTTCCTAAAACATATAACTTTTGGGTGACGAAAAGTAATGCAAAAGTAACATAATGCGTTACTTTCCATAAAAAGTAACAAAGTAACATAATTAGTTACTTTTTTTATAGAGTTACGCAATACTGTAAAGCATTGCTTTCAAAAGTAACTTTCCCCAACACTGCTTCCCATGGTGCATTATATTAAATTGTTTGTGAAGATGTAGAGTTTTACCATGTTTCCTAACCAGACACAATGCATTATGACTCTAGAAATGCAATTTGTCTGTCTGTTCCAAAAATAGACTCAACTGTTGCTTTTTGCCTTTCGCCATCATGGCTGGTTCGAAAAATCTTGAGACGTGTCCTAACCAGAAATGCCACGACACGAAATAAATGTATCTTTTCCATGTTAAGAGGAAAAAAACCTGTGGAAAAGGTACCGTTAATCCATGTCGCAGCCTGACACGGATTAGCAAAGTGGATTTTTAGCTAATCATTTAAATATCAGTCACTTTTTCATTTAGCTTCAGAAGACTTGGAATATAGTGATAGTGGCACTTTTGGGGTACCATTTCTGTCATTTCTGGAGATTGACAGCGCCTCTGCGTCATTTCATTGCAAGATATGTATCATCCTGGACAAGGTACATTGTTTGTACCATGAATGAAAAGAAAGTCATACAGGATTGAAAGAATATAGTGTAAATGATGACAAATTTTCATTTTTGAGTGAACTACTCTGTAACACAATTTGTCCGGACAATGGAAGTGCACCGGATAACCTGACAGCTGTATTTTTCATCTTTCAGAGGCTCCTCTCTCCTTTATGGTACTCTGTCTATTTTTGAGTCATGTGAACTTTCCCCAAACACAGAATTACACTGAAGAAACTCATTTCGTCTATCTGTGACCCTGGAGTCTTGAACAAATGGAAAGGAGGGCAGACAGAGAAAATACGGGAGCAATGGAGTCACAACGCTATTATACTGAAGCGAGATATTGCTCTGTCTTCTTTGTGTCTTTCTTCCATCTCAGCTCTTTTGTTCCCACTTCATTCTCTATTTGTCAAGTAGTCGCCTCAAAAATTGAAATACATCTTTGCTAAATGAACCTTCAGATGAATCTCGAAACTTTTGAGTGTCTATATTTACGCGCTTATGAAACAATGAGTTTCTCTGTTTCTCCAGCTTGGATGGATTTCCCCATCTACAGGTGACTGGAAAAGGTCTGTCGCTTCCGTAAGGAGTCGCTCGGAATTCCAGACAGGCTGTGATTCTTTTCTTAGACAAAGAGACGCCTCAGAGCCTCGGCGTTTCAATCGATCACACATCTCTGTGACAGGGTATCGAGTCCTCGGCTGGCGTGCGTGAGCTCCAAGTCCCGTTTGAGGCAGAAGTAATCGATACGCCAGTAAAACGCACCTTCCCTGTACACTCTCACAGGCTTCTGGATGAGGCGCTAATTCTGTTTTACAAAGCCAATGCTCCCTCACATCGTACAAATCTACACTTCTAAGTACTGAGACCTCTGGGGAATAAATCTAAATGAAATCCACCATGCAGTAGTAGCAAGGTCCTCTGTTTGAGGAAATAGCTGCCGCTGCCCACAGTGACTCTGGAATCTGCTATTCAATGACTAATGAAAGAAGTGTTGATTAATATTTATACTTTAAAACCTATACAATTTAATACAGGTTTTTGGGCAAGTAATCTACACTACAAAATACGCAATATATATTTATTTTCACATAAATAAAAAAAGTTTATTTAATTAAACATTTATTACTTTTATTTATTAAATGTATTTAATTTACATTAATAAAAACTATATAGACTTACTATAAACAATTATAATAAAAAATACTAAAAATGACAAACATTCAAAATCACTAAAATGTATAAATATATAAAAATAAAAACTTATTTCAACTAAATTATTAACAAATCTGTAACAGTATGTTAATGATACTAAAATAACACCGATATGCTATAATTTTGTTTACAAATAAAAAAAATACAAATTATTCCAGTAATTAAATATCAAGATGATAAATATTTATTTTAGTATTATAAATATGTTATATATTTCATTAATATAATTAATACAATTTAAAATATTATATAAATTTTTCATATACATAAAGCTAGGCCTGTTTCTAGGCATAGGCAAACTAAGCGGTCGCCTAGGGCGCCACCAGCAGGAGGGGGCACCAATGAGCGCACTTACTGGCACTACATTTTAGCAGGGTTGTGATAAAGAGTGGCACGGTCACCCTGAAATATGATTGCCGCCCCCACTGGATCCTTCAACATCACTGGGCTAGAGTACTGCCAATCTGACGATGCCTGTATGCCATTGGATCAGAGCGCTGTCAATTGCTGCCAGATTGTTGCATGCATTTGGAGCACTCAACAATGCCATTAGATCAATGGGCTCTGTCAGTGCTTTGGCATGCAATAAAGCTAAGTTCAAAGGCCAGTTTAAAATATTGATACAGTAAAAAATGCACAAAATCAGTATTTTGTTATGGCAGTATTTGTGGCAGTCAAGAAATCATGTTGCGAAATTGGTCCAAAAGGTGTGCGTTTTTGTGCCAATGAATTGTTAAAGGATCAGTGTGTTGTGTAATATTCCCATATAAAACTTTAATGGCCATTTAAAAAAATATTGGTAAAGTAAAATTCGCTAATTCACAAGATCAATACATCCTTTATTAAACCGCTTTGTTGAATTTAACGCATCCTTATGGAAGTGTTGAAATGCTGAATTAATTAATTCACGTCTAACAGTGCTTAATGGGAGCAGCGTCATACACATAGAGGGCAGAGCGTCACATCATTTAAAGGGGAAGTTCACGAGTCAATGAGTAACAAAGGAATAAGTAGCTGGATTCTAATTACTTTTATGTGACTGATCAAGCTTTTATATATAGTTAGGGGTAACAAAGGGTTTTATAGGTTTGACTGAAATAATAATGTAAAAACTGACACTTTAAATCAATGTTTCAAACAACAACAAAACAACTAAACAAAAACAAATAAAGACAAAAAGTAATCCTTGATAATATCTAAAAATGTATCCAAATCCAAATGCAATAAAATTAATTTATGTGTAATGACAATTTCTTAGCAACTAGGGATTGCACAAACCTGTTGATATAGGGGTATACAGGCATCTAGTGGCTACATAATGGTATTACAGATGATAAATGGTGCAAAATGTATATCTTAACAGTCAATTTACAAATAATGCGTTCAGATTTTATACTATATTAGAATGCATTCAGGAGGGAGGGGGGCGCCATCAGAGATTTCGCCTATTTTGCGTCAAAATAGCTAGAAACAGCCCTTCATACATCTGCACATCTGTTAAAGTTATCGTTAAAAGATGGACAAACGCATCCAATCTTAAATCATTTACCTTTCCCACGTATGCCAGCAGACGGGCATTGAGAGGACTGTCATCTGAACTCAACCAGAACTCAGAGTTATCATCCGAAGAGACCGCAAACTGAAAATCACCTGGACAAATGAGAGCCGAGTGTGAGTGACTTTCTTATCCTGTATGTGAAGAAAATACTTTGATGCTCTGCTCTGTATCACATATGTACCCGACAAATATCAACAAGAAATGTGGCTTTTAATACTAAAGAACATTTACCATCTTTGTAAGGTAGAATGTATCCAAATATTCTCAGGCCATAGTTCTTCCTCAAATCTCAGTTTGACAGTTTAACAGCTGAGCTCAAGCCTCAATTACTAATTCGAAAACGTCAATTTAGAACTACCGTAGTAACGAAGGACGCGTAAGGTAGAATGTATCCAAATATTCTCAGGCCATAGTTCTTCCATTTTGGAGCCACAGCCAACTTCTTCACAGTACTTCTCATCTGAAGAGATAAAATGCATGATTATGAAATTAGTATGTGATGAGATGAGCAAAGACAGACACGGTAGGTGTGGTAAAATAAAGTACATTTATTTATTTATTTAATAACATGGCAGTCTCATAGCCTTTGAAAGGCAAATTTCAAAGCTAGTATTGTGTCCTTTTCACACTTTTAGCATAATTTGACAAAATTACAGTTTGATAGTGACAAATGACATTTTGTTTACCAATAATATTTACTTTGTTTTCTTCACACATCACATATTTTCAGCTCTTTGCTGACCCTGTTGTCACCTTAGTAAACATGTTCAGTAACATTTGAAAAATCATTAATAGGCATAACATTTATGGTTGTTTTGGAGATTATGTGTAAAACAAAAATAATAAAATAATTTGACACACACATGCAAACATTGAAATGGTTTATGCATATTCCACTGTATGTTTAGATGTTCACAATTTTGTAATAATAATAAAAGTAATAGTTTATATTTTTAAGATGGATTTTCATATGTGTCTGGCACCAGTGTAAAACTAAGACATTTATACAACAACATTAAAATATATATTAACATGAATAATGAAGACATGATAAAAAAAAATTCAAGTCAGTTTTAATGTGATTGTTATTAAAACTGACTTAAAATATTCATAAAATTGTTATAAAATTATTATATTTGTCATAAAAATCAATCACTGAGACATAATGGGGCTCATTTTATTTCAAATAAAACGCCTCTCTGAGTTTTGAAGCTGTTCCCGCTGTCTGTCCAGTCTCACCCTGCTATAAATGCTAAAGAGACACACATAACAATGTGAGTGAGACCTGAATCTCAGATATCTGTCATCTGTTTACAACAATCACATAAACAGAAGGACGGAGATAAAGAAGCGGAGGAGCAGAGAGACAGATTTCCGCAACACAGAGCAAGTATTTTCACAGTATGTGGCTTTTAATTTTGGGTGAGTTCTGTCAGACGTCTTGATCTGTAAAAACAGGCCTGCCATAAAAGAACCAAAAAACTAAATATATAAATAAATGACAAAGTAAAAGTTGAGGAGGTGGGAGGACTGTGTAGGTGGTCTGAACTAAACAGAATTCACAAAGACTGATCAGGAGAAGCGAACTCTATAATTCCACCCATTACAACCTGTAGGGGCTTTCAATTAAACTACACCACCCACATGAGGAGAGAACGGCGGAGGTTTGCAGACACGCCTTCCAAAACCCTATAATATTCAACAAAAACACAGGTTCCTAAAAGCTCACTGTATTATGTAGAGTCGAGTATTATGAGAGAGAGACTGACTGAGCGAGTGTGATTACCTGCATCTGATGCATCATTCATTCTTCAGCTCAATCAAATTTTCACATAGACGTTATCTTTATTAACAAACCGCATATTTAAGTCTAAAAAAGTACATTCTCGCCTAAGAAACTCTTAAAACTACATTCCGTGGCACAAGAGTATTATTTATAAAATGATAGTGGATTTGGGCGTCCACCATAACACTCGCTGTGAGTAATACAGCAAGCGGAGTGATACAAACGGTGAAATGATTGGAGTTCTGTTATCACTAGAATATCGCACCGCTGGAAAAGGCTCTCAGCCAATCAGATTCAAGGACCAGAAAGAACTGTTGTATAAATATAAGTTGATGTTTTAGATTCAATTGCATAAAACAAAATCTAAAAACACTGAAGTTCTCTTCCATGGTAGAGAAATGGAGAGTGTAACACACTGACAAGTTCTTCTAAAGAGCAAATTCCTCCCAAATATCACATAGCTGCTTGTTTACCCGGCTTTCTGCTAATATTTACTTTCCACCGTTTCAGTTACGCTTCACTGGGCTCTCCATGCAAATTACGCCCACTGTTGTGCAAGACGTGGGCTTGTGTTTTAAAATGCCTATCTATCCAAACATAGCGCTGTCACATTACTCTAAAACTCAATTATGTTTTTCTCATATCAGCACGACAGCCGCCACCAAACCAAAACAATGCGCTCTCAAATATCCCTAATAAAGTTTATCATACCAATAACTTGTATTCGACACATCTGTATTTTATACATTTTTTGTAAGATTGTCATAATTATAATTTCAGATTTCACTATTTTCTCTTTCCGTTTAGCTCAAATCAGTCATAACAGTATCCTCATAAATCATACAAGCTAAACGGATATTCAATAATTAATGCGTTGATATTAATATTTAACTGACTCATCTAAAAACAAATTGTCCTCTTTAAAGCTTCCAGCAGTAAAAACAGGCCATTGGGCCAATCAAAAAGAGTACAAACTGTTTCAAGATTTGAATTAAATATTCATTTTTAAAGGGGTCATATGATGTTGCCAAAAAGAACATTATTTTGTGTATTTGGTTTACTGAAATGTGTTTATACGGTTTAAGGTTAAAAGAACACATTATTTTCCACATACTGTACATTATTGTTTCTCCTCTATGCCCCGCCTTTCTGAAATGCGTCGATTTTTACAAAGCTCATCGGTCTGAAAAGTGAGGTGTGCTGTGATTGGCCAGCTATCCAGTGCGTTGTGATTGGCCGAATTCCTCAAGCATGTGACGGAAATGTTACGCCCCTACCATACTGTGATGCCCTGTCCGGCTAGAGTGACGAGACAAAAACATATTAAAAACGAGGCATTTGTTGCATCCAGTGGGGACATAATTATGGATTATAATGACTTATACTGTCTTTTTACACGTTACGCGTTTTACGCATTTACGCGTTTTATGCATTAACATAAAACCATGTCTGCATTTGTGATCGGAGAAATGACAAACAACAAGCGCTACTCTACACTGCTCAAAACTCGCGTTTGAATCATCAGTGGCAAATCCTTTAAATATGAAAGCGTACTTACAGGTTGTAAGTCAGCATTATTTGTCAGAAAACCGGCACTGTAGGCTACTCTCCCAGGAGACAGTCCTCGTCCTCCGTAAAATGCGTTGCACACACACGAATATATGGGTTAAACTGTTCTGGATCAGTGTTGTAAATACAACTTAACCACTGATTTCTAGTCGTGTCCTCTTTTGGAAGACCAAACCAAGTAGTTTCGCTTTCACAACGAAACACATAGCATCTTCACAACATGGCGGCGGCAGTGGCAGCAACAATAAAGTTACGCCTTCTTTCTTTGCGGGAACATTTGGGTGGTGTTATGCAAATCTTCCCACACAGTGACGTAGACGTGGGGGCGTGTTTAAACGAGGCGTTTTAGGAGGGCGTGGACTAGTCTTAACTTTTATAAAGAATATCTCCTTGGGTTTGAGACTTTAGTCTTTGCAACTTTAGGGATCTTATCTATTCACGAACAGCTTGTAACTTGGAAAACTTGAAATCGCATCACATGACCCCTTCAATATCTCATTGCACATTTACTGCACATCAGTAAATCCGCATCGGTTTTGCTATTAATTATCTCAGAAAACATAATTACGCACAATTTTCAGTATATAAGCAGAATGTCATCTCAAAAAATGCTTTCACTATTTTTCCCTACAAACTCCTGATGTTTATGTGAGCACACATGTCTCTCGAGACGGGAGTCTGAGTTATAGCCGCTCCAGGACAATAGACAAACCAATTTCATCTCTATATCACCCGAGACTACATGAACGTGAGATCTGGTCTGTGGGAGTTTTGAAGTATGAAAGACACAGAGAAGCACAGACATGCACACACTCGTAAGAAAATAACAAACAGACACATCCAACTGAGATAGCCTTCGGATCACTTTCATGATTCTGGAGAACACTTTCATGAGGTTTTGCTCATGTCAGCTTGAGTGCTGCTGTCAGCAAACCAAATACTAATGCATTCTCAAATCTCAAATCCAATTTTTATTCACTCAAATTGTTATGCTAATAATATAATATTGCATTGAAAAATGCTAAATAGAAGTAGTCTCAGGCTTTTGGACCAGAAGGTGATTGTGTTTCTGTTGATACTCACATGGGGGTAGAGAGGAAAATGCAGGTTCTTCCTGAGCTGAGCGACTGAGGAACCACACCAGTCTTCAAACACATGGAGATTCGCTTGACCTTTAAGCTGTGAAGAAGAAACACGGAAGACCTGAAGATTACTTTCTGAAACCCTGATAGATAGACAGGCAGACAGACAGATAGATAGTTAAGACAAAAGAATGATTCGACTGTGACACAGGCAGTGAATAGGGAAAGAAGAAAAAAAAGCAAGGTTGTGAGACGTGTGTTGAACTTCTTTTAACTTGAGCACTGTGTTTTTAGAATGCCGTTTCATGTGCGAGATGCTGCAAGAGACGCTAGATGTGAGCACAACAGTCAAACACGTCCATCAAGTTGGGTTTCCACCCGTACCATAAAATACGGGATCGTTGCGCATTTAAAAATGGTAAAATGATGCATCCCATATCAAATCAATACGGGACGCGATTTGATGTCCCATATTTTACCTACACATAGCTGAATAAACACATAAGGAGTTTGCAGTGTGAAGAATACTTGTAACAAATGAAAAGAAATCAGTTTCACAATAAGTAGCAGAGAATCTGTGCGATATTTTAGCATCTTTGTTTCCACATCATGAGAGTCTCGACATCATGCGCTGTAAACCTGCACGCTTCTTTTTAAAACATGTCTAGCTCAACGTTTGCCCATTTAACGCAAGAAGCTCTCCAAATGCATGGCTGAATGAGAAAAAAGTTATCAGTGGGTCTTTCCAATAAACATATAAGGCAATCTGCACCATTCGCCAAAAAGCATTTTCAGCTGCTGATGGTGGACTATGCTGCTAAAGGGTATGTACAGACCTATTTTGTATTTTGTTTTTATTTTTTGTTTGTTTAAATTTTATTTATTTATTTATATTTTATTTATTTATTTATTTTAGAAAAAGTATTCCTTGGTACACAGATAATTATTATATTTGTAGGCACAATTAGGCAAATCATTCATTAATATTATAAATAATGATATTTAATAATTTATCATTAATATGAAACATAATAAATAATCTTGTAATATGCAATTCATGACATTTAAAAATAGTTTAAAAATGTTATTTGAATCATGTTGTAGTTGTGTTTAAAGTAATTAAATGAAAAAATATAAATAAATAACTACATAAATAAATAAACAAACTGAATGACTGACTGAAATTGAAATTGAAACAGACAGACAGACAGACAGATAGACAGATATATAGACACAGACAGACAGACAGAGACAGACAGACAGACAGACAGACAGACAGATAGATAGATAGATAGATAGATAGACAGATAGATAGATAGATAGATACTGGCAGAAACCCATGCTGAGACCAACATCCAAAACCCAACATGCTGGTCACCAGCTGTGCTCGTCTCCTCAGCAGGGAGCCAGTGTGTTCCTGGACAAAAATACAATATCCACACCAACTTCTGCAGTATTAAGAGATTTACAGCAGAATGACACCAGGGACTGTCACCAAACAGCTAAAGATCCATCAGAGGAAGGGATGTAGATCTAAACCTGTGCTGACCGCTGCCGTGTGACCTCAACTGGACCAACCCGCCGCATTTTGATCCATGAGGAGTTGAGCATTAATAAAACACGACAGCAGTTTAGATGACAGGTGTTCTGGCACATTGTTCCACGCAGCGTCTACAGGCTCCCTGAAAACCACAACAACACACAGCGCAGAACATCAGAGGTGTTACAGCCCGGAGCTAAAGGCAGGAAAACCAGAGCATTTTCCAGCCCAGTAGAAAAATCTAATCGTTTCAGAACGCGCTCACGGCGCTCGCTTCTGATGGGCCGCGTCACAAACCATTAGCATCAGTTAGCACGCTAAAGCACGGATGACCACACGCAATACCGAGAACGCCAGCTCTCGCCGATGTCAGTTAACGCTCTTTACGCCCCACAAATAGAACCGACTTATTCACATTAGACAGCCGGCTACACTTTCAACCCAGTGCATTTTATTTGGTGTCTGTCAGAAGACATTAGACTCGAGCAGACAGAAGAGAACTGGGAGTTATTGCTTATTCCTTGATGTTGGCGCGAAATTGATTCCTTTCTCTCCCTCAGCGAATTCTCTAAAATCGATCAATACGAGAAGATCAGAAGCACAATTCTGTTACACACCACATTTGCACACACCACAGAGACTAAAGGAATAAAGGCACCTTGCGGTTGAACTACTGGAGGAAAATTCATTCGCTTTCATGAAGTGGAGAAACTTTGGTTGCATCAGTTTACAATGAATCTTTGATGAACAAAATGTTTCTGATCATCAGAGCTGAGGTGAACTCGGTCAACCCATCAGTTCTGTAGTTTATCTAATAGTCGTTTCGGTAACTGACCTCAGGTTCAGGAGGAATGGTTGGCGTCTTGCTGAGAAAGTGTGAAGTGGTTGGTGATGCAATTTCAAGGCCTTTCCTACGGGAGTCATATCATGCAAAAAAATATTTTGAAATAGGCATTTGTAGATATACTCCAACATTCAAAATCTAAACAAAGCTGCAAAACTAGCTCATCTTCAATCTTCAAGGTTGTGTCATAAGAACGGACAGCTCCCAAAAAAAAACAAAAAAAAACAATTTGGATCCAAATTACTTTTTTGGTTTTATGATGTTATAACTATATAATAATAAATATAACATAAAAATGTTATAGCATAAATGTTCATATATATATATATATATATATAGGGTTTGAGAAAATAAAATGCATTATTATTATTATTATTGTTGTTGTTGTTATTATTAATGTTACAGAGTCATATAAATGTCACTTTTTTGTAAGAATAAGAATAATTAATTCTGCCATAAATGAATGAATGAAGGACTTAATTAATTAATGAATTAACAAATGAAAAAAATGAACAAATTAATGAAGGAATTGATTAATTAATTGATCCATTACAATTTAATAAACATTATGCTTCAACCTCAATATGCTAAACAATGACCAATAATATTTTTTGTCAAATATCTGAATGATTTTTAAAATACTAGGCTATTTATTTTTTTTACCATTTCATGAATCTTTTTGACTGACTCAATAAAAAGAACCAGTTCATAAGAGTCATTTGTTTGTGTAATGATAATGAACATCACAGTTAAAGCAGACTGTAAAGGTACGGTCATATCACATGGACGAAAGGTTGTTGTAAGTTTAGCGAACATTTGAAAATGTGAATATTTGAAAATATTAGAGTTCATACATCGCTACACTACTGGCAATTGACAACACACTTTTTTGTGCACAAATTTTCACTGAAATTTCGCTAATGTAACAACACACTCTAAATATGTAATTAATTCCACCTCACTAAATTATATGACAAAACCACATATTTATGCACTCAGCATTTCCCATACTTTCGCCAATGGGTCTAGAACACATTTTAAATTATTATTGGAAACGTTTCTCTTTTTTTGCATTTGCGCCAAATTTTGTCACCATTTGAAGCCTTGAGTGAAGCAGTACTAACTATATAGGCCTCGACAACAACAAACCTGCAACCTGTAGGCAAGCAGTGACATCCATGTGAAAAGGTTAGCCAGTCATAATAGAAATTAGTCTTAAAGGTACAGTAACAAAAGGTTAGCTCAAGCAGAAAAGAACATTGTCATCATTTACTAACCCTCATGTTGTCCCAAACCTGTATGACTTTCTTCTGCAGAACGCAAAAGAAGATATTATGAGAAAGAACAATATACAAACAACTCTGGACCCCACTGACTTTCACTGAATAGACGCTGAGACAATATCTTCTTTTGTATTCCACACAAGAAAAGTTATACAAGTTATAATGTTCAGGAAAAACATAAAATTATTAAAAAGTGAATGATATGGCCACTTTAACAGCAGGTTTGAAAGCAGTGACCACATGGTGATCCAAGACCACATTTATTTCCATCTGATCTTTAACATGTCACACCCGACCTGAATTTCCATTTGGGGAAATTAAGGTTGTCAACATACAGAAATAGTCTGAAAATAGTTTCTGTTTCTGCACATACATACAACCACATGGAATGATATAACAGGCACTTTGATTCAATTCTCGCAGCTGTTTTATTGTGTACCCTGTTGAATTCAGTGAGCCAGTCTCTCATTTGTGCTGTGAGCTTTTATCCTCGGTACCAGCCCACAAACTAGACCACAAAGATTAACCTTGCAATTCCACGGCTATAAATAAAAACCATCAAGCAGAACATACTGTATTTTCATAGAGTGCCATTCTTGTTTAAACCACAGGAATTTTTATGGGGAGGTTTTGATTAAACGGCTTGTAAATATGGCAGCTATCTTCAACGTTTATATAATCCTTATGTAATAGCCTATCTCCTGCATGCTTGATTCATAGCTACAAAAGTGCAATGATTGCTAACAAAATTGTATATTCCAAGTCTTCTGAAGTCATATAATAGCTTAGTGTGATAAACAGACTGAGATTTAAAGTTATTCAGTCTTCTCTCTAGTCAGCTGTTAACTCAAGAACCACTGCGGCCGGATCAGTGAATCACTGAGTCAGTGAGTTGTACTTCAAAACCGCATCAGTGAATGAATCGCTCTTTGGAAACGGTTCTTTTCGGTGATCCAGTTCGCAAATCAGACCGAATATTCACACACACGATGTTGTGACGATGGCGCCGACGCTGATGGCTGCCTCCGTGGCGTGCTCCGCAGTTGTTTTCATGTTTTTGTTAGTTTGTCCTGTCTTTAGTTATATCCCTGCAATCAGTTTCACCAGAGACGAATTGCTGGACATTCGGAAGTACACACCACCTGATATTTCACCGGTTTTCGATTATTCTGATGTTTTGCTGGACAATGTAGTCGGGGGAGCTGCAGCGCTGATCAAGCGCTTCAGGACGCGCAGACGGGGGAAGCGAGCCGGTGCGCTCGTGAAGCTCAGACAGCGCGGATTCAGGACGCCGTTGCCAAGCATCCATCTGGCAAAACTCCGCTCTCTACCCAACAAAACGGACGAACTCCTTCTGCTCTCCCGGACAAATAAGGATTTTTCAAACTCTGCTAATCACTCTGGACCCCTCACATCCAGCACACTCCTTC